GGGTAAAAGTAAGCCACAGGAAGAAAGGGTTTCTGGAGGTCAGCGACCCTGGCGCTCCCTCTGAGCGTTCTAAAAAGAAAAAAAAAAGCGAAGGTATCGGTTGAAAAGGAAAAAAAAAACGATAAAGAGTTTCGGACAGGGCAGGTGAAACCGCCCGAGAGGGTTAGAGCGAGCAAGACGCGAGAAGCTACCATATGCCCGAACAACGTTCCACCCGCGTACGATCCGACCAACCGGCACAACGAGTTCGTTGCCGTCAACGCGAATCGACAATCCTACACCGAATACCTCTCTCTCTCTCCCGACTGTCCGATCCGTTTCGCGAATATCGGCCGTCGAAAGGAAACGTCTCGAATCGAGGACTCGCGAGGATCGAACTCGATCTCTTGGACGGCGAATCGAAAGAGACGAATTACGAGAATATCGATCGTGGCCGATCGCCTCTGCCTAAACGTCTGCAACTCGACGATTCTCAAACACTCTCGGCACGTTTGGCTGTCGTCGTTCGCGGAGATATCCGAGAAACTAGATTGCTAGACATAGCTATTCGACGCAAACTGGCCGAGCTGCCGCAAACGGTATCGAGCACGGTACGTATTTCGGAGAAAACAGCCGAAGACTGTATCGAACGATTCCCCGATCGAGTCGTCCGCGAACGATCCCGTTTTACGAGGATTCTTTCAGAACCGAGTCGAGGAAAACGTTCGAGCGAGGTCACGAGACGAAGGAGAAAAGAAATCGTGAAAAGATACGGGGTGCATCGCGCCGGTTTTACCGGAACGGCCAGTAGATTTTGAAGAGGATGTACCGGGGTGATTTGGCCTAGACTACCGATGATGACTGTACCCCGCGTATGCGAGGGATATAGGCACACACACTCGTGAAATTTCGCACGTACGTACGTGCGGTACATTCGCCAGGGGGTAGAAATCATTAAAGGGGCGTGGCGTGCCCGTGGTTGCCCGGATGACGGTCACGTGAACCAAGATGGCCGCCAAGCGGGAGGGCTCCCCTCTTTGCAACAGTCATTTGTTATCGGCCATTTTATTTTAATGATTTCCATGCATGCGTGAAACGCTCGGCTGCATCGCTCGGGAAAGGGATGTTCTCTCTCTCGCTCTCTCTTACTCTCACTCTCTTTCTCTTAACCTGTCTCTCTCTGTCCCTCGCTCGCTTCTCTATGCTCTCTAGCTGGTTCGTTCGCTCCCTATGCGCCTGGTAACGCGTTCTCCTAGCGCGATACACGTTATATACCACACCGAACGCGTCGCTAACGCTGCTTTCATGGTAATTTCAAAGCCTATAAATTTCGAGCGCATCCGCGTTAACGCCGTTCCTTCTTTCGATAAATTTCCTACGATTTCCCGATCATCGTTTCCGCCGAATAATTCTCGCCGCTCTTCTCCCTGACCAGCCCTCTCGAAACGCTACCCTCTTCTGCCGAACGGCCGTCTCCGTTTCACGATTTTCACCGATCGATCGCTGGAAAATACTGCAATTACTCCGAGTATTACACGTAATTGGAAGACGACGAATTTAGACGATACCCGTGGCAAAACGCGTTAGCGGACGCCGAGGATTCGCCTCGTAATTCGCGTAACGATGATCGTTCGATTATCGAAATCGGAACGAATTCGCATCATCGGTGACATAATTGATGCGCGGTTGTTCGATCGATGTCTTTTTATATCGCTCTAAGTGATTACCTCTCTCTAGCGATTGAAACCCGATTCCATCCGATATTTTCGCAAAGTGAAACCTGGCCATCGGAACGCGTACAAATATTACCCAGCTACTTTGCCGAAACAACTTCTGAAAGCCGCTTTTAATTACCGCGAAACCGAATGTCACCCTGCGAAAATACTCCTCCGATCGAATCTGCACCGCGTCTACCATACGGTCGTAGAATTTTTCGTCGAATTAAATCCGTGCATAAATTACGCTGGAAGTCGCAGCTTCGTATTCCCTGAAAATCGAGAGAGAATAAATTTGAAAACGCGTTATTTCGCATGGATTTCGAGAAAACACAGAGGGATGCGCGTTCGACGAATATCATTGCAACGTACAAACATTCCAGCCGATTCGGGCATAACATTCTCGTTCCCGATTTTTGCTAGACGACCATGTATTTGACCGCCCCCACCTGCACCCTCGTTGCGAAATTCAAGGTATCGCTCGTACGAATAACTCCACGCGAGTATCATCGAAGAGAGAAAAAGATAAATACGAGATAGAGAGAGAACGAGCGAGAGGGAGAGAGAGGAACGAGACGAGGTCATCGCAACTCGCGCAACGCACGTGCGTGTGAGTGCATGCAATTTAATGATTTCCAGCCGGAATTTCGATGATGGCAACTGGAATGGCGGCAGGGGGAAAACGCGGAGAAAGAGGAAATCGGCAGGGTGCGCAAAGAGGGAAAGAGAGATCGCTCGTATGCAACGGCGGGTTGGTCAGGGTTGGCTCGTTGCACACGCGCAAAATTTCACGAGAGAAACAAAGAACGGAAGAGAGAGAAATAATGACGGGAGAGACACGAACCGGAGAAAGAGAAGCGACAAAGGGAGGATAGAAACGAAAGAGAGAAGGGGAGAGAGAGAGGTAGGGAGAGAGAAGCTAAGAGGAAAGCGTGTCCGGGGGAAAGAGAGAAACGACGGGAATCACGAGAGGGAGAGAGAGATAGGACGTAAATTTTCTAGCGGTGCGTTCATTTGTTCGTTCAACGAAATGCGAATGCATTATACATGGATTGCAGGGGACATTAATTTTCTGCCGTGGACGTGTAGTGGGCCGTGGAGGGCCGCTGGGTGGTCGGTACTACGAGGCCGGAGGGGGCTCGTCGTTTCCACGGACTAGGCAAGAGGGTTGCATAGGGAGGGGGTGTGTACGAGCATCCAAGAGGGAGAGAAAGAGCAGGATGACGTACAGTGGGATAATCAAGACGGAGAGAGAAACACGCTGGGAAAGAGAGAAAGAAACGCGAATCCGAGACCGTTTCCCGTATCCACGTGCCGACTTTTTTTCTCTGAGCTTTTACTTTTACGAGCTTGCCGGTGATTTTGACGAGTGGACGAACAGGCGCTGGAAAAAAATTATTTGCACGTGCGCCGCGGGACGGCCGAATCGTGGAAAAACGCGCGAGGAATTTTCCGGACGGCGGGTGGGAGTGGAAACGCGCGCGCCTGCGAAACCGCTGCACCGACAAATAATCAAATATATCGCCCACTCTCGTTTGATATTCCGTGCTAGTGTAGTTGATGAATGTAACGACGTTATACACTGTCAGGGAATTACGGTCGTCGAGCGAAATTTAATGTCGATGCGTGTTTAACGTCGTCGCGACGGATACTCGGAGCGACGTTGAGCCGAGGGGAGCGAAAAGAGCATCCAAATGCTCCTCGATTCTTTGCAATCTCCGAAAAACTCCTTTCGCGAAGAATCGTTACGAAAGAAATTCGCAAAGAATAGTATGCTTCGAGCTGTTACGTGTCGTTTAATAAATATCGGAGCTCGAAGTCATTGATAAATTCATCGGTGATGCGTAAAACGAGTACGCTTCGCGATAAAGTCTTACGTACGCAGCTTCTAAATAACGCGTCTCGTAAAACGTAGCCTGACGCTTATAAAAATGATAAAGTAAAGCTCGTAAAAGTAATAGTTTACGTATTGGCTATAACTTGCCGTCTGTTACACGGTGCCTTCCTCGTCTCTCTCTACCCCTCGAGTTTCAAGTTTCCCGTTCCTCCTTTCGGTCAACGAAACGACACTTTCCTGTAAATATTAATACAGCTATTTAATCGATACGTTGACCGAGCGATAAACAGCTGTTACGATGTTTCTTGCTTGTCGGTGTTAATATAATTATCCTTACCGAGGAAAAAAGTATTCTTACTATCGTGGAAAGCACTTACACGCGACAGATGTTGAGTTAATCGCCGCGTCTGACGTACCATTTTGATCGGCGAGATTTTTATTACCTTCGATGACGATTCTCTCCGACAATCTACCCGCCGGCTAGAAATTTTCTCATTTAGAATATCTACCGAAACTGACGTTTCCTACCACGGATAGAAAGTTCTTTTCATTTTCGAATTTAGCAAACGACGCTAAAGACGCGATCCGCGTCAAAAATGTACCGCATGGCTTTTTAGAACGGTTCATAAAGTATGCAACGTCCCGAAGGTATTTTCAAGACTCGCGACGAAAAAAGCGAACGAACTTCTTTCGTTTCGCCTTAATTCGAGTCGTTACTTTTAGCAATATCGTTGTTTCCTCGTTTCGTAACGAGCGGTGTCCCGGAGTTATTTTTATTAAAACATCGATCGATCTGAATAAAAGATGAATTCGAGCGGAAAGAAAGGAGTGGATGGAAAGAAAAAAAAGGGGGGAGATATTAATAAAGGTTGCGTGGAGATAAAAGTATTGTTCCTTCGAATGTCGAATCGATGGAATAGATTAAACACCCTCGAAGATATTTCCTCGTTACCTTCGTAACTGTAATATTAATCGAATTATAAAGTAATCACGGAACGCGGCTCTCGCGTTAATACGAGAATCCACGAGAGACTCGCTAGCTTGGAATTTATAAAAGCTATCATTGATCTTGCCAACGAGTCACGGGGTTAAGGTTATTAGCACGCGTTAAAAGAACGATACGACATCGATTAACGGGTTCACGGTTACGCTTTTAAATCAGGCCGCAGGTTACGCGTTAAATTAAAACACCGACTCTCTAATGGCCGTTTTAAATCGACTGGCATTTTTTACGCTCATCCCTAAATCTTGCCGCCGCTGATACCTGTTGCGCGTCCCCGGAAAAAAGTAATTCGACCGGCAACATCCGTTCGCGTATCTCGAACGAGTGTCGCCATTAATCTCGTTATATTCGAAACGATCGCGTTAACCCTTCGACGCTCGTTTTTTTTTCCACCCGTTAAATCCATTTTCGACACGCTCTAATCGACGAATCTCGTATATGAAAGGATACGTTTTTCTCGTTTCAGGAGAACGACCGTACAAGTGCCATCTACCGGATTGCGGGCGGGCGTTCATTCAGCTATCGAATTTGCAGCAACACCTTCGAAATCACGACGCCCAGGTGGAACGGGCGAAGAACCGGCCGTTCCATTGCAACATCTGCGGCAAAGGCTTCGCCACAGAATCCAGCCTTCGTACTCACACGTCGAAGGTCAGTCATGTATGTACCAAATCCGACGTCCAACAACAACAGGCATTTTGGCTACTTAACGCGGTGCTCGCACACGATTCGATAAATCGAACCATGGTCGGAAAGATCCGGAGTGTAGAAAAATCGATGACGGTTGTACACGTACGATCTATTCGTACATATGTCTACGCATATTTTATCACAATCTCCTCCGTTATCGTATAGTTTTTCCTCGCGGTACGGAACACGTATCTTTGTATGTACGCACACATGGTGGTGGGTCACACGCTTCTCTCCCGACGATTTCTGTCAGCAGACTTCGGAATCCCATCGACGATACTCCACTTTATCCTTTCTTTCGCGGCTCTCGGCCGAAGCGAACATCTATCGGTCGATTCGCTGGCGAAACGACGTCTCGATGCACGGTATAATTTGATTTAGTTTAAGAGGAAAAATGACCGTGCAGGAGATGTTGTTTCGATGTCGCGATAACGGAGAGATCCCTTAACGGTAGCTTAGATCGTTCTGCTGGGTATCCTCGTAACGCTTGGGACTGCTTTGGTTGTGGTATTTTTCACCGACCAGCCTCATCCAACTCGGACGGGAGTTCGCGATAAACGACCTTCTCGCGTTTCATCCGAGATTTCGCTCGTCGAACGGCATCCTCGATTCGAGAATTCGCGAGGGAAAGCGGAGAGCAAGGAGTACGCGGAAGAAAAAAATGAAAGGATCTGGGAAAAAGATCGCGTCTCCGACGCTTAATCGAATTCACCCCTGACGGTGAATCGCGGCACGTAGCGATTACTAAAGGAATCTTGTACCGTGGGGTTGTTTTTTGCCCGGCTCGGTCGACCAACTGAATTTCTCAACCCTTTCGCCGCGCCAGGCACATGTCTCGACGAAAAAACGTGGGAAGGCATCTGTCGAGCTCCGTACGTGAGTCGGTCTTTTCTCTTGTTTCTCTTCGCTGTCTTCTCGCGCTTCTTTCGTCGCGCATCGAAAAACCTATCGACTTCTTTTTCTCGTAGCCAATTAGACCGAGCACGTTGCGTAACCAGTCGTAAAGCCGCGCGTTCGAAAAGTGGACGCGATAAAGTCGAGACACGATTATCCATTAACGCCGCGTAAAAGTAGAAAAATTTAATTGATTCGGATCGATCGTTCAGCCTCGAGAGACGATCTTCCGAGCAAAAACCTCGAAAGAAAAGATGCTCCCCAGGGTGCTTTAACCTTCTCGAAGAAGCTCGTTTCGCGGAATAACGTGGAATCAGGTGCAAGTTTGACGAGCCACGCGACCGTAATCCAGCCACGCGTCGTTTTCTGGGTAATAAATATCCTTCTTTTAACGCGTCCGGCTCATCGAGAGATCCTCTAATTGAAAGCTAATCCTCGGATAAGACGTTCGGCTTCCCCCCGCTTCGAGAAGAGTTTTCACGGCTCGATAAATTTCCAGGAGAACCGCTTCGGAAATCCCATTTTCCAGCCAGCGTCGATTCGCTTCGTAAACGATCGCCGTATCGAAAGTAGTCCGCGAATCGCGGGTTGAAACCGCGACGAGGAAACGACTACGAGACGAAGATGTCGCGCGAGAGCGTGGAGTAATTAAAAGCCGCCAGCGCGACGGAAACAGAGACGTCGGTCCAGTGAAAATAAAACGAAACTAAACGGAAAGGAAAGGAAAGGAAACGGAACGAAACGAAACGAAACGAAACAAATGGAGGAACGGAGAGAGGAGGGACGGAGCAAGCGAGAGAAGCAGAGAGCTCGAGAGAGCCCATCTTGCGCGGCTAATCGAATTTTCGCCGGGGCAGATTTCTTGAAATTGTTTTCGCTATTCCAGGCTATCTACTAGCCCCCGTCCCTGCGTCGACTACCCTGATAGCTAATGGATCGTTGTTTAAAAAGGAAAAAAAGAGCGAGAAGCAAGAACGGAAGGAAGAGAGAAAGGGGAAATGAAAGAGTTACGCTCTGGGTCGAGGCCTGGCGTGTCGGCGAAACATTATCTCGACCAAGAAAGACAATACGCTCCGAGTACAATATTATAATAGGGCAGAGTGTAAATGTATTATAGAGAACGATCGGTAGCCAGCCGTAGAAACTTGGATTTCCTCCCTTACTCCGCTTCCTCCTTCGTGCGTCTTATGAACCGTATTATCCCTTTCTTTGTTTCGAAGCAGTCGGAAAACGAACGGGGCTGACGCGCGGGTTTCTTCGAATTATCGCGAGGTTCGCGCTCGATCGGCGAAACGCTTCGGCAAGTGTATCTAGCGGGTGAAAAGTAATCGCTGCACAACTCGAAAACCTCACCCTGGCTGGTTTCTTCCGCTGCTATTCCCTCTCGTCGTGTCTTACCCACTTTTCCGTGGCACACGGCCTTCGTATTTATCTGTAGTTTAGCGGTACAAGGGTTGAAACGTCGTGGAACACGATACGCAACCCCTTTTCTGCTGGCGGACTTTCTCGTACCTTCGACCTTCTTCCGATTTCACCTCCGGTACTGCACCTCCCCCTCCATCGAGCCCCTCTTCTACCCTCTTCTTAATTGCCCAAGCACGGAGCTCGGTAAAAACTCGTTAGCCATTAGCCATTAGATTTATTTTTCCTCGCCACGGGGATTCGTTTCGTGTTGTAGAAAAACCGCGTCCGTTCAGGCTGCTTCTTTTTAACTACTCTTGCTTTCGTCGATCGAACGTTCGAAATTTTCCGTGCCGGATCATCGCGGCGTTTTGCATCGAAAAGAAAAGCACCGTCGCGTCGAGTCGCAAACGAAACGCTTGTTCATCCATTTTTTTCAATCGTGCAAAGGACGTTGGAATATGGGCATTCTGAAAAATGCAACTGATTCTAAGCGATATATATTAACTGTCTCGAATTAATAAAAATTGATCTTCATTTCATGCTGGTCTCTCTTTGTCGCAGTGTTCCAAGTACCCGTGGCAACGATTAAAGGTAAAACGATCGGGTCAGAATATTTTAGAGCCCATGGGAATTCCTTTCGAGTGTAATCACGGTTCGCTTGCAAAATTTTGCTTTTCTCCGGCGAGAACGATCGGAATATCGCGACTCATACTCTCCGTATCCTTCGAGAAATACGTTCCACGTGTCTGGTATCTGGCATTCGTCGACGGATCACGTCCTTTGCATCCTCGCCGACGATCGCGACCGTTTCTCCGTTTCACCCCTGCGATCTCCACGTCTCGATCTTATCTCGCTCCACCGGCACACGGTTCAAGAGTCGTCCTTCGACGTACGCGATATTTACTTCTGCTTCGCCGTTTTTCCACTCACGGCCGAAATAATCCTCTCTCCCGTGTTACGCGTTAACCTCTCTCGTCGTTAAACATCGCTGTCTGGCGCATCTCCAGAAGAACTATGCCGTTTGTCTCTTTTACGGCGTTAAAATAGAAAACTGGGACGAACGAGCTTTTCCGAAACTTCTTCCCTTTCGCGACGTTTCCTCGACATCCTCCTCGATAATCGCAATGTTTATTCGCGAACTCGATCGGACGCTTCCAACGAGATTTCCTCCTCGATGCGGACATTTTTTTCCTCGCGTCACCCTCGGTATTAATTTTTTGCGCAGTCCCCGCCTCTAAGGGCCCCCTTTTTTTGCCCGCGTATACGCTCCATCATCGAGACCGAAACCTAATGAAATCATTCCCGCGTCGATTCCGTTGGGGTGGGATTTCTGCCTATTGTGCAACGACACCCCTGCGTTTTTTCGGTCTCCTAGTCGAACGAAAGCGCTAGAGGGTCGCGTCGAAACTGCTATTGGTACAACGCGAGGGAACAAAAACCTGCGTTCTAACCCTTTCCCGGTTGTTACATTTTTTTTTTCCATTCGTATGCCGGTAGTCTTTGCCCGCTCTTCGGGGGTGATCGGACACGCGTAACGCGCGGATTACCAGCCCGTGATACGCCAAAAAACGCGACGGCTCGGAATAATACGCGATAGAATGGAAATGAAAGAGACGCGACAAATCAAACAACCCGTAATGAAAAAGATCACGCGTGTCCCGCAGCCGCGTCGCATCGCAGATTATTTCGCGCCCGATACGTTTCCCGACCATGCTCTGACAGAATCTTGATTTCCCCGGAAATCGAAAGTCAAGAGGACGAATATCGAGAATAAAAGAGTCGGAATACCTTTCACGGATTTGGAATTTATCCGAGTATCGTACGAAGGTTGTCTGCGAACGCGCGGCCTCGTTGCGGCTAAAAAAGCCAAGGAAAGGAGACGGCCGAGGAAGAAAAAAAGAAGAGAAATGACGCGAAAAGAATTGCGTGTCGCGAGAATAACCTTCGGACTTTATTGCTTCGCTCGGGGAAAAGAGAAGGACCGTGAATTTTTACGGAGCGAACGTTCGCGAGGAATTTTCATCGAAGATGGTCCCTTTTTCGCGGACGCAAAATGGCTCCATACCAACGTCACGCATCGCTACGCGTGTGCTCACACCCACTTCCTTTTTACGCCACTCCCTGGTCCGAACCTGCTTCAAACGCTTCGACGAGTTTGACCAGATAAGCGAGCGTTCAAAACCTTCGTAAACTTCGCGACGATCGACGCCGGGACTAGGTCGATCTTCGGTCATCGATTTTCCCCGGAGACGGTGATCGTCGCGTGTCTCGAATCTTGACCCAGAAACGCGTGCAGCGTAGAAGGCTACGCCAGGGATCAGGAAGCACCGAATCGGGAATAGAGAGGAGTCGAGTTCGCGGCACCTAGAGTCGAGTCGAGGAGAGATGAATCTGGTCACGGCGAATCATAAAGTCCCTTGGGGATTCGCCCACGCTGCATCCACTCTCTCGTGCGAGAGAGACGGGCAAAGGGGAGAGAAGAGGAGAGGAGAGAAAAGCAACGGCCTACGAAAGAGAAAAGACGAGGACGGAGATCGAGCGCAGAAGGAACGAGAAGAAAGAGAGCGGCAGTCAGGAGAGTCGAGGTATTCGCGGTGCAAAAAGCGAGGATGCAGGCAAAAAAGGAAGAGCGCAACGAAGAAACCGGTTTTTTCCAGTTGGGCCAGGTCGGGGCGTCGAACCTACGGACCGCAGCCTCCCTCCGAGAATAACTTGCATGCTGCTGCAGCAGCACCGGCATCAAGCGACGCCGAAGACGTCGACACGACCAGCATCTTCCGCGCGGTCTCGACCGGCTCCGAGAGCTTGCCCTAGGTCCGGGAAGAAAGAAGGACGCCAGCCAGGCCCGACGAAAACGATCAAAACAAAACACGAGGAGGCGTGCCTCGAAAAGAATATCCTCGTAGAAAGAACGCCGCGAGAGCGTGGGTGTTCGAGCGAGCAAAAAGAAGAGGGAAGCCGATGGATGGATGGAGGGCAGGGACCTCCTAAACAACGGGGTTCGTTGCCACGCGTTCCTTTGCCCTCGCGCTATTTTTGCCATCTTTTTATTTTTTTATCTGGCCCAAGGTTCCCTTCGACTGACCCTGGTCAAGTTTGAGTACGCCAGAAACAAAAGCGATTGCCCTGTACCTTGCAATTAACGAGGAAAGAAAGGAGTCCTTGAGGCGTTCGAAATACGCGGTTATAGATGAAAAGAAATCGGCGCGAAAAAGAAGGCGACCAAGGTTCGAGGAGTGGGAAAAAGAGACGAGAGGAAATTGAGAATAGGAATCGAAAAAGGCTAGCCGAAACGCGTAAGGTCGACGACGTCCGGTGTTATTTTAAACTGGTCCTGCCCGAGATTCGGTTCTCCACCGTTCGTTGATCGCCTCAACTCGGTCGCGGTTGCCGTAGGTCCGGGAAAAAAGAAGGTTACGAATCGCTTCGGTAAAGATAGAGAGGTAGGGAAAGAGGGGGAGAGAGAAAAATAAAGAGAGAAGGACGACTCGCCGCGACGAGAAAGGAAAAGATGAAGGAGAGAGAGAAAGAGCGAGAGCAGGCGGAGGAAAGAGAAAAAGAAACAAGGATGCGTTGTATCAAAGTCGAGGACGGGGAGTAGACAGGAAGAAAGGAACGAGTGGCGCGAAGATCCCAAAACTTTGGGGTCATTGCCGTCTGGTCTCGTTTTAGCCTTTCCTTCCTCCCACCTCGGCATCCTCCTTCTTCTTTCCTTGCTCTTCGTATTCTTTTTCTCTCCGTTTTAAGCACTCTTTCGAGCAAGGTTGGCCGCCATGTTTTTCCTGAGCGCGTGCCCCTACCGCCTCGTGTGCCTATAACCGACCTTCGTGTGTGCGAGAGAGAAAAGAAAGAGAAATAACCGAAAAAAAGGATCGGATACCACCGCAAAATCGTATCTCGATACGAGGTCGCCAATGACGAAGACAGATACTTGCGACGAGGACGTCGAATTTCGTTCATTACTCTTAGTGTTTGTCCTTTTTAAGTATGGCCTTTGTTGCTTGACACGTTAGAAACCGTTTTAACTGAAATCACAGAATCGATCATGACGACGATCGCAACAGAGGCCATCGTAACATTGTGTCGTAGTTAGCTAATCGTTTCATCCACGCTTTGCGATCCCGTTCATCCGCGAGGTCTATAGCGAGATCAATCGGAGATCCACGTAATTGTCCGTGTAACCGACACAAAGAGTTGTTCGATCGCAAAATTTCGATTCCGATCGTTCTCTTCAGACCTCGCGCTTTCGTCTGTCTGGGCTTTGCTTTCTCCTATTCTACCCCTGTTGTCCCCGTCCTTTAATCGTATAATTTCGCGAACACCATCCGAATTCGTAATCCTGTTCGCGATCCATCCTGCCGTATCTTGCCAGACACTCGAGGCGAATTCCCTTTCGCAAAAGAAAAATAGTCCGTGGTGGCGGCGGCAAATCGGTGCCCTAACTCTCACTGGTCAATCGTTCTGTTCTGTGCGCTGCCTGTCCTGCGCTTCTGGTTCGCGACTCTGTGGTGGTATTCTGTGGGTCGGCTCTCTACCGGTGCGCCGCGTCTGCCTGCTTCCGGTTCCGGTTCCTCTTCTTCCGGCCACCAAAAAAGGAGTTGCAACAGCGTGTTGTGTTCCAGCAACACGCCGCCTTGATCG